TATGACTTTTACCGATCGCACCGATTGTTGGATTAGTTATAAGAGTTCCGGCGCCTAATGGTGAGTATGCCGTCACTCGTATGTTATATTGATTGCAAAACTTAATCAATTGATTCTGGTTTTCCTGGGGATGACTCTCCACCTGAAGCATAGCTGGAATTACTTTTGCTGTTTTCATAAGGCTTTCCATTTGTGAGACATCGAAGTTAGAGATTCCGATAGATTTGACTAATTTCTGACTCAACGCTTCCTCCAAACCTTTCCAGACCTCGTCATTCACTTCTGATATATTGCTGGCCCTATGGATGAGCATTAGGTCCACATATGTTGTGTTCAATTTCTGAAGAGCTAAATGAACACCACTTAACGCCTCCGCCCTACTATCGGTCTCATTGGCGGTAATCTTAGTAGTGATGAACATGTCTTGTCGTTTGACTTTCCCGGTGGCGATCAAGTCTGTGATAGCTTTACCGATGGCCTCTTCATTGAAGTAATTGCTGGCGGTATCGATATGTCTGTACCCGACCTCCACAGCGTCGTGAACCATCTGAATCACTACCTTATCCTGTGGCGGACCCCCAGCCCGATGACCACCGGTGCCTAAGCCCACAATTGGACAGTCGATACCGTTGTTTAAGTGAACAACTCGTGAAACTAATTTTAAAAATTGGTTAATACAACATTATTATTGCCAATTAAAATAAAATTACTAATAAATACCATTTTGAGCCTGGCTATAACCCAATACTGCAATCAATACTAAAAGTAATTTCATTGTTAATAAATTGTCTCTATTTAATTTGTTATGTTACAGGAAATGTTTATTATAAAATCTATCTATTTATATATTTTTAAATTTATACAAATGTACTCTCATTCCGGATGAGATAATTGGTAATTGTTGCACAATATATTATATTTCTGTATATGAGTACTTTATATCTGTAATTGACCTGTAATCTAATCATTAATACATAATAAAATATACCTGTATGACAAAATATAAATTAAATGAAATGATATAAATATATATAAAATGGAACTTTTATAAAGCGAGTAATATTCTGGATATTCTGTTATGAAATAATCTGGTTTTAATTATACTTGATAGATGCTTTAAATAAAATTCTGTAATCTATAAGTTTGAACTTAACAATTATAAACCTAACATATGCTGCCATAAAACCGTATTTAAATTGTGCTTTCTAATGACATACAACTTAATGTACACATTGTATGTGGTCTCTATAATGAAAGTTTGCTAGACTAGCAAATTGAGTAAAAACTTTAAATAGTGAGCAGGTAAACCCTTGAATAAATGATTTATATATAAATTGCGTGAATTTTAATCTTTTATTGCCCCTTTACCATTGATTTAATCATTATAATGAATGATCAATGATTGAAATATTGACAAATAATTAAAATTGTTTATGAATAATAGTCTAAAATTGCTAAATGGGACTTTTCAGTCTAATTGACATAATGTTATTTCTAAAATTAAATATGGTCAAATAAGTGAAAATGGGTCATTTCTAAGGATGTTAAAATACGGTATTTTATTTTTTGATTGTATTATACATGTATTATACCGTATTATACAGTATTTTATGGTATTTTATATTTATTAAAATAAGTTTACAAATATTACAATTTGTTTTTGTATATATCAATAGATTCTACATTTGCTTTCAATTTGGATAAAATATTTAAGATAGTTACATTTATTTTTTCTACCTAATTAGACAAATAATTAATTTATAATTAATTAAATAATAGTTTTCAACAAAATTAAGAACTAGTAGACTATTGTTTTAGATTTTAAAACATTGGCACCAGTTTTGTGTATGTTAAAATACACGGCATTTTATGTATTATCGGAGACTTACATCTCTAGTAATTTGCCTGAACCACCTCATCCTTAATTTGCTGGTTTAGACTTTAAAGTGTAAACTCTGGACATTTTATGTCTCCAACTTCAATGTCCAACAGTTACAAAGTCTCATCCAAACAGTGAATGTATTTCCAGTGACCAATCAAATGGAAAGTCACCCGCAATTGAGTCAAAGACAACTCATAGACTACTGCTTCCAATACAACATACGAGTGACGGCTCACTCGCTCTCAATATTATGAATATTATGTCTGATTTGCAATAGAAATGCACAACAAATACGACAAGAGTTGGGCACAAGTGGTCATCAAATGGCAAATACAGAGAGCAGTTGTCGCCATTTATAAGGGCATAAGAAAGACAAATATGATAATAGAGATCATATAAATAAAAGAAAGTAATCTTTCACAAAATTATACCGAACATAACCTAGATTATTATTTACAATATTCTAAATTTGTTGCAAATTCTTGATGAAGAATCCATATAACGTTAAAACACTTAACTTGAAGATTTAATAAATAATCTAATTAAATAGTGTTACTGGTAAATTGAATAATTTCAATAAATGATTGCATTCTTTGAATCAAATATGAAGCCAAGTTGGTTTCAAATAGTTTTCAATTCAAATATCTGATCATTTTAAGTATAATATGTTATACATAGGAATGCAATAAATATGGATCAAAAGTGGCTTTTTATAACTGGGCTAAGTGAATCCCTGTGATTCATTAAAAAACATTCAATAATTGAATGAGTTTTTGATTTTCAAAAATATTCATTCTTTATAATCATTTTATATGAACTCCTAATACAGACGTTCCCCTCCAATACAAACGAGCATATCGTGTGAATACTCCGAAAAGTGTTTTAGTGGGCATTGAAATGAGATAAATATTGTTTAAATATTTTATAAATAATTGTTTAATTAAATTGATGTATATTTAAATCTATTAAAATAAGAATTATGTAAACATTTATTCAAATACTAATTGATGTTATTTCTTTTAAATTAATATATTTAAGTATTAAGTTATTATTTTTAAAATGACTACAATTCAAGTATTAATGTAATTCAAATATTTTTAAAAAGTTATTACTCTAATATTTAAAATATTAAAATACTGTAATAAATGAGTTTTTGTAATAATTATTTTTAAAATTGAATTTTTGATACTAGTATAATTATTGTATATATATTGATTTATTTAGCGTATTTTATAATTTATAACTTATTAACTATAACTTATAGCTTAATAAATGTTTATATTAATACAATGTAATAT